TACTGTTCTTCTCCGCAATCTCTCCCCCTCCGAGCAGCTTGGCATCCGCTCCTTCAAGATGGAGTGGGTTCCCTTGATGACATGTTCGTTACAATAGTCCTCTCTGGACTAGGACCAGAATGGCGACAATGCAAGTCACTGCTTCGCGCTCGAGGAGCCGTCCCTGAAGACGCCCTCTGCGCCACACTCCTCTCCGAGTAGTAGGATATCAACCTGCACAATGAGAGAAACAACAAAAGGGAAAAAATGGTGTTCTACACTGGCGCAACTGAAGGGGAGTCACACGAGAAAACGGTGTATTTATGCAAGTACTGCAAGAAATCGGGCCACACCATGGATCGATGCTTAAAAGGAAAGGCTGCTAACAAAAGGCGCAACAACAATTCACCCGGTCAACATCACCAACCGTCAGTGCCTCCTTCAACACCATATGCAATGGCGACCATGTCGCCACCTGCCGTCGCAAGTACCTCGCAAGCTCCTGCACACATCTCTTCCAAGGACTAAGGAAAAGGGACGAACTTGAGCTGCATGGCGCGTCACAGAGGAACTTGCTATTACGACAGAGTTCACTTCTCGACAATCGCATCGATTGAACCCATCGCACCGAGCCCGAACAATGATCCTACAATAGGACTCTGGAGCTACAGGCCGATGACTCTCCCATCTGATTACGAGTTGGCTCCGAGCATGCTCGAGTCCCCTCCCTGGTTTCCCTCGACTCACAAGAACATTCTCTCGGGCTTCTACGTTGACCTTGACTGTTGCTGCGGGCAACACATGTTAGGGTCCACAAATTTCATTAGCAACTCGAAGAGACTGCGACGACTAGAGACTGCGACGACCATGCGAAATAACGTCGCAAACAACAACCAACTGAAGGCTTACGACATTCTAGAGATATACATGCAGTCAATCGACACCAGCTTCACGATTCACATTGGTGATGTACTGGTCATCGCCGACCTTCAGTTCAACCTTCTCTCTACATCGCAACTCACGAAATGCAGAGTTGAGATTTGGAGCAACTGCGAAGAAAAGTGCTTCTAAGTCTTCTATAAAAAGACTTACATTGGCAAGGCAATAGATGAAGATAGACTCTTTGTTCTTCGTTTTGAACTTCGGGTCACAAGGAAACCACGGCGACTCCGATAGGACGCTTCTGCTGAAAATGATGCCTACGGAAATGACAACTTGGTCGCATCCCGAAGAGACGGATTTTGAACGTCCCGGACCAGATGGCCCCTGCCGCACCGTTGTCGTTCCGACCGCCTTGATCTCTGCTCCCGGCGGTACTGGACGTGCATCAATGGAAGTAGGAGCAGACAGTGGTGCATTAGCATCAGCAACACAGACTGACACTGGAGGATGGGGAAACACAAAAACAGTTGCCCCCGGATGGACCAACACCGGTGTCACCACCGGAGCATGGGGAGTGCCACAAACACTAGAGCAAAGCGGAGGTGGAGAGCTTCTGCAAGTCCAAGAGACTAGGGACCACCAGGTCCTTATCCCGAAGCTCCAAGACTTACTCTTGAAATTATAGATCGTCCATCAGAATAGGTACCGAGCAGTAGGGAAGAGGTCCGGCCTCCTCCGATGCTCCGTCCACGTTTTGTTCATCCAAGTCAGCCTCATCCGCTGGCGAGGCGAGGCTCGGTTGCCACCGAAGCCGCCCGTAAGGTCTCTTTGTGCTGCCAAGTTGTCCAGGTACGTTTGGAGAGTGAGTCTCTCGTAGAAAACCACGTCACGTGCTGCTACTGTTTCCTTCGAGTGGACGTCGAAGTCTTCTACGCGTTGTAATGTTTTTCAATGCCAAATTGTAGTGTGAGAGTACGACGGCTTATGCTGGCTTTGCTAGCTTGCCTAGACTTTCTTATGCTATTACTAGCTTGGGTTTTATTACCCTTTAACACTCGGTAATCAGAGCGGGTTTACACGCGAGGTCTTGAACCGCTTAGTTCCGGCCTTAAAAAACTGCGGGGGCGACGACGAAAGCGCCGATATGGGTATGTAAAACCAGTTCCGCGCAATCTTTCTAAGTCCCCCTCAATCCGGTTTTCAAACACCCCTCACATTTACTGGTGAGAAGGATGGAGTTTCGACCGTTCGATCGAGTTTCATCTTAACGGTCCAGAGAATTTAGCCCAAAATTTTTAAAATCTGGAGCGTCGGATCGAGTTTTTTCTCAACGGCCGAGATCGAACACGAATTTCTACTAAGGAAGATTCACGCGACTTACAGACTTTGCGTTCATCGATTCTACAGTCAAGTTGAATCGCAGTAAGGCGACCAGCACCTAGAATTCATTTGTTTTCGTCGCGCATCTTCCTGTAAATCGCCAAATGGAGGGAAAAGGAGATATTTCAGTACAGAAAATCGCGGAGTTACGTGCCGAGCACAAGCAGATACATGCGGCGCTTCTAGAAAATCCTTGCGAACCAGTCGGCAACCGCCATAGCAGCAGCGAATGCAGCAGCCACAGCAGCAGCAGCAGCAGCGGCGACACCGACAATTCTACCTGCGACAACGGAAGCAGCTACAGTTAACCTCGAAGAAGTAAAGCCGAGGCTACCGGAGGTGCTCGATCATACAGTTAAAGGGAACAACGTTCGTCGATTTGTAGCTGAACTCGAAATATACTTCGAAGCCGTTGGATGCACGACCCCGACAAAAGACGCAATGCGCATACGGCTCGCAGCAACACTATTACAAGGCCCAGCTCTAGAACGGATCAACAACAGAATAGTCCAAGGCGAGGGGACGTGAGCGCAGTTTCGGGCAGCACTGATCGAACAGTTCGACGCGTTGGATAGTATCTACTACGGAACATGACGCAACAAGCCAAATAGTGGCATGGGGCGATTGGCACCACCCACGACTACCGACCCGATGGAGAACGACGAGGGCGATGTGGAGCAGCGACTAGCAAATAATGAGACGCGCATATTTTGCGGCGCTACAGGACATTGTATCTTGGCGTGTTGGAAAATGAAGAGAAGGCGTGCAGAGCTGAAGGGCAAGAACAGTGCGGCACCCCCGAAGCAGAAAATGGACAACGTGGCAACTTTGGAGAGGGCGAAAAAAAGAGAATATGATGGCGTGAATTTAAAACGTCACGACCAGCCGGCACCAGGGGAAATCGCCGAGACTAAAGGAGAATCCGCAAAACAAGACCCTGCACCGACCGGGAAACTCCAGCCGTACACCCCGACAAGTAAGAATATTACTTCTCGTGGGTTTCAAGCCTTTATTAAGGGAGAGTCATAAATTAAACCGGTACCGGGTAATATGGGGACCCTACTCCGGAGCGCTAATAAGGGTCGAGCGTTCCGAGGAGTTAATATTCTCTCCTAGCAGCACTGTTTAAAGGCTCCCTGTTCCCCACAGATGAAGCCTATACATCTGCAAAGGCTTAGGGGAAGGTTCCAGACCCAAGAGAAGCTGAATCGGCCTCGGATAAATCCTTCTAACATTTCTCAGTTGAGAACTGATATTGAAGCTGCATCTTCGAGCGCAGGACCTAGGGATGACATATTCGACGTACCCTACGATCCTATATGCGATACCATCTACGGCTACTCGGAGCAGCAACAGCCACTAGTACTCGAGGTGATCTGCAACGGGCGACGACTCCAGGCCCTGGTGGACAGTGGTGCATCCCACTCGGTGTGCGACCGCAGGACGTTGGAGAAAATTGGAGAATCCTCTGAAGAGATCCAGTTTACAACAACGATGGTGGATGGTACGAAGCTTCCTATCCACGGGGAGTCAACACTGCAGCTGCAGATAGGAGCGCTAAGGTGGAAGCCGACATTGCCGATCACCAACATCAAGGGATTAGATTTCATCTTGGGGCGTGATTTTCTGAAGCGGTTCCACCCCGATCGACTGGGTCAACCGGAAGGCGTACATCAACAATAATGGGAAATGAGTGGAGCTGCGAAGAAGGACGGATATAGGGAATGTTCATGAGAACGTGAAGGAGTTGCAGTAGTTCCTAGGCTTCGCCAACTACTACAACAGGTTCGTGCCACAGTACGCTAAGACAGCAGCGCCACTGACCGACCTACTGAAAAAGGAAACGCCCTACAAATGGGATACTCCTCAACAGCAAGCCATGGAGCAGCTACAGACAGCGCTGACTACAGCGCTTGTGAGAGTACAACGGCTTATGCCAGCTATGCTTGCTTGCCTTACTTTATTATGCTATTTCTAGCATAGGATAATTATATGCATGCATGAATTGCTTGATTTCCTAGGCTAGGTGCTTTCCTATATTCTATTATAGTTATAGCACCGCGCTAGGTTGTGTGCACCGAATTCTGGCTTTTCGGTTGCCACCGAATTGCCTTCTACCGAATTCGGGAAGGATCTGTTCGGGACGCTTCGCGACCCGCGGAACCTTCGCGTAACACCTGGTTACGGGGCCTTGTGTCGAGCCTATATATAGCCTCGTGTTGTACCCAGGTGATCATTCAATTCACATTCTCTTTTCTGAGCTCCATCCTAGATCCTCACACTTGGTAATCAGAGCCCGTTTACACGCGAAGTTTTTTCGAACGCTAAAACCAGTCTTCAAAAACCGCGGGGGCGACGCAGTTAAACATCGATTTCGGGTACGTAAAACCGGTTCCATGTTTTTTCGCTCCCCCCCAATTCGGTTTTCGGACGCGCAAATGTCGGGCATGGAGGGCCAAGGCGACAACCACGCGACCACGAGCGACATCGCGAGCCTCCACACCGACATGGAGCAGACGCATGCGACGCTTCGTCGGCTCGAGGTCCTTCTAACACACCAACCAGGGATCGCCACCACAGCAACGAATGCAGTAGCGACAACACCCGCAACACCACGCAGCACGGATTCGGCTCGCAGCGACACTGTTACGTGGACCAGCACTCGAAAGGATTTACTACACCGACGTAGCCCGCGGGGAGAAAACGTGGCCACAGTTTCGGGCAGATTTAATCGAACGTTTTGAACCGATTAATACGACCTACATGGAGCGGCAGCAGATACACCGACACAAGCAATACATAGCAGTGGCCTCAATGCCCGGGTCAGGCGGAACACACAGGTAACAGTCACCCTCAACACTAGTAGTCACAGAATACATGGCACCAAGGATAGCATCATAGTCAAGATCAAAGACGGCAACCCCCGCCCTAGACAGATCTCCCCAGCGAGGGATCTCTGACGCCTCAGGGAACTGGCGACGCCACGCGTCCATAAGGCGACCGAAGCAGAGCTGGGTGGAGTGCGGGCCCCCGCACTGCTCACCAGCTCGGTCACCGGTACGGAGGACGTAAGTGCAGGGACCAAAACCCCCACCGCGCTGGCGCGCAGTGTACCACTCACGAAGCTGCTGAGGGGACAGGGTCACACCACTCCGCTGCTGCTGGCGCGGACCACCACCTGAGCCACTCCTCTGCACAGAGTCGCGACCCGCTCCACCACCGCCACCTCCGCCGCCGCCGCCTCCGCCGCCTCCTCCACCTCCGCCTCCTCCGCCACCTCCGCCGCTTCCGCTCCCTCCGCCACCACCGCCGCCTCCGCCGCCTCCATAGCTGCCGCCGCCGCCGCCACCCCCGACACCACTCCCACCACCACCCCCACTCCCTCCACTGCCTCCACCACCACCTCCACTGCCCTCGCCAGCCCCTCCAGCGCCCTTGCCCCCCTTGCCCTTGCCGGTGCGGCGTCTCCCGCTCGGGGCAGACGCAGCGCCGACCGACTCGAAACCAACGAGGTCAACCGCAGCAGCAGAGGCAACAGAGGGCAAGAGGGGAGAGGGAGAACACCCCTCAAAGACGGGGGTGCGAGGGTCACCACGAGAGGCTCCTACAGCGACTATACTCTTCCCTGCTGCTAGGGGGGCCTTCTCGAGGAGGTCAACAGTGAAAGTGGTGGGGCAAACTGAGAGGAAGTGGTCCCTGACTACGCGGAGAGAGTCAGGGAGCCGGGTGACTATGTAGTAGAGAGTGATGTACATGGGGGGGAGGTTCTTGGCACAGAACTCAGCAGGAAGCGTAGCGCCGTAGCGAGTGTCACTAGTGCGGAGGTGGGTAATGAGGTCAGCAACTGTGGAAAAGGCAGCAAGGTCAGGGAAGAGGTACGGTAGCATGAGGCGGCTCAGTGCAGCAGTGGCAGGGGAAGAGTAGCGTGCAACTACAGCGTCGTACAAGGTCTGAGCACTCTTGTACTGGCTAAAGTGTGCACGCTCAGTGGTCGGTAGGTGGCGGCGCACAGCAAGGCGAGCAGCAGCATCGCGCGTGGCCCACTGTGAGCGAACAGTGGCGTCAGCATCAGCAGCAGGGGCAGGAGAGGCACCAGAAGTGAGGTGAAACAGGGAGAGACCGTCTGCCCTATCGCACTGTAGGAAAAGCTGCAGATCATCTACCCAGACCTCAAAGTCAACTGCCCGACCCTCAGCGTCAAAGGTGAGAACACTAGGGGAGGCCATGACAGTAGTAGACAGGCAGTGAGTACAGTGGGGCAGGGCAGTGCAGTGGTAGAGGCGCTGCTCTTTCCAGGTAAGTGAGGCGGACCCGGGCAGGCCCACAGGCGGCGGCGCCTTGGCTGCAGTGCGGCTCGGCGGCTCGGCAGCAAAGGCGGCTCGGCGGCAAAGGCGGCTCGGCGGCTCGGCGGCTCGGCAGCACAGGTGGCTCGGCGGCTCAGCGGCTCGGTGGCTCGGCGGCTCAGCGGCTCGGCAGCTCGGCAGCAAAGGCGGCTCGGCGGGGCCGCTGAAGGGCGGCGACGGGGCCGCTGAAAGGGCGGTGACGGGGCCGCGGAAGGGCGGCGACGGGGCCGCTGAAGGGCGGCGACGGGGCCGCAGGTAGGGGCGGCGACGGGGCCGCTGAAAGGGCGGCAACAGGGCCGCGGAAGGGCGGCGACGGGGCCGCTGAAAGGCGGCGACGGGGCCGCTGAAGGGCGGCGACGGAGCTGCTGAAAGGGCAGCAACGGGGCCGTAGAAGGGCGGCGACAGGGCCGCTGAAAGGGCGGCGACAGGGCCGCGGAAGGGCGGCGACGAGGCCGCTGAAGGGCGGCGACGGGGCCGCAGGTAGGGGCGGCGACGGGGCCGCTGAAAGGGCGGCGACAGGGCCGTGGAAGGGCGGCGACGGGGCCGCTGAAAGGCAGCGACGGGGCCGCTGAAGGGCGGCGACGGGGCCGCTGAAAGGGCGGCGACGGGGCCGCAGAAGGGCGGCGACAGGGCCGCTGAAAGGGCGGCGACAGGGCCGCGGAAGGGGTGGGCGGCGACGGGGCCGCTGAAAGGCGGCGACGGGGCCGCGGAAGGGCGGCAACAAGGCCGCTGAAGGGTGGCGACGGGGTTGCTTAAAGGGCGGCGCGACGGGGCCGCAGGGGCGGCGCGACGGGGCCGTTAGGGGCCGTAAGAGGGCCCGTTAGGGGCCGTAAGAGGGGGAACGACACACGGCGCAACTCGGGCAGGGGCCAAGTGCGCTCCGGGCAGGAAACAAAAAGATCGGTGGGCCCTAGGAACAGTTCCCACGAGGGAACCAGCTCTATACCTTGTGAAGTTTAGAACGAGAGAATGATTGACCTATGAAACAGTTGGGTACAAGTACTAACCCTACTTGGGTTGTACCCCTTATGGGCTACCCCACTACAGCCTACACAGATGTATAAGCTATAATGTTCTGACACCAATGGCCTCGAAGTAAATTTCGAGGGTTGCCACGAACCGCCGGACGTCGGATCCCTTCGCGCTTGGATCGAACGCCTCCGGGAGCCTCGGTCGTGCTGCTTCGAGGTTCGGCGACAGTGGTGCCATCGGTCCGTGAAATGTCGGTGTCGCCACTGCTGCTGGAGTTGTCGGTGCTGCAGACGCTGCGGTCGCTGCTGCTGCGGTGGCGAACCCTGGTTGGCTTGTCAGAAAAGCCTCGAGTCGACGAAGCGTCGCCTGCGTCTGCTCCATGTCGGTGCGGAGGCTCGCGATGTCGCTCGTAGTCGCGTAGTTTTCGCCTTGGCCTTCCATGCCTGACATTAGCGCGTCCGAAAAACCGAATCAAGGGGGAGCGAAAAACACGGAACCGATTTTACTTACCCGAAATCGATGTTTAACTGCGTCGCCCCCGCGGTTTTTGAAGACTGGTTTTTAGCTGTCGAAAGAACTTCGCGTGTAAACAAGCTCTGATTACCAAGTGTGAGGATCTAGGATCGAGCTCAGAAAAGAGAATGTGAATTGAATATGATCACCTGGGTACAACACGAGGCTATATATAGGCTCGACACAAGGCCCCGTAACCAGGTGTTACGCGAAGGTTCCGCGGGTCGCGAAGCGTCCCGAACAGATCCTTACCGAATTTGGTAGAAGGCAATTTGGTGGCAACCGAAAGTCGGAATTCGGTGCACGCAACCTAGCTCGGTGCTACAACTATAATAAAATATAGGAAAGCACCTAGCCTAGGAAATCAAGCAATTCATGCATGCATATGATTATCCTATGCTAGAAATAGCATGATCAAGTAAAGGCAAGCAAGCATAGCTGGCATAAGCCGTCGTACTCTCACAGGCAGGGTGCGAGCGGGCGGGGGAAGGGACGAGACGGGTAGCAGGACGGGAAGGGCAGCGGGACGGGACAAGATGTGCAGCTAGGAAGCCGGGCGAACGCAGCTAAGTTGGGCGACGAGATAAGCTAGGGTCCTAGGAAAAGCTAACTCAATGATACCATCGCATAAGAGCTAATATAACATTTGACAAAAGTCAGTGATAATAATAAGTCTAATTTCGTACCAGGCCCTTAGAAGTCAAAGAAATTTCTTTGATTTGTATGATAAACTCTGATATTTCAGATTTTGTTTTCAGTGTGCTCTGAAAAAATCAGTTTTTTTACAGCCTCAACTCTGCATGTTTCAGATTTTTCTTTTAATACCTCTAAAATTTCAGAGTTTTCTGGGAGTGTACTCTGATAAATTCAGAGTAAAAACACGTACCGACTCTGATGCAATGTACCTTGGTATCGACACCCAGGATTCGGTAGTACATGTACCTCTCTCGTCAATCACGCGAAACCTGGGACAACACAACAGTCAAGTTTTGTGGGCAAGGCCGCCCTGCGGTGCAATTTTGTGCTCGTAAGCACCAGCGCACACCCTGTTAGAGCACTGATTGGTCCTCTTGGCAGCTTTTGCGTGCCATCACGGGCTCCTCCTGTACCCACGATGCTGCACTAGGCACCCACGACACAATGCTGACAGCATAGCACGGCAGTCGCGCCTCGTCGTTGCTGTGCATGCTAGGCAACCACCTACCAAACTCAAGGATGGCACGTAGTGTATAGGGCCATCGTCTTTGAGCTAATGTTTCATCCACACCCCCGAGCTTCAACTCACTGCCAGGGGTTGTGCCCGGTTCTGCCTCAAAACCACCTCTCTACTTCCTGCTTGGCAGGCTCTCTCAGAACCCCGCCATGGCGGTGCAGGGCAATCCCACCACCAGCGATGACGACCCTGCTCCCCAGCCTGCCTTGACAGGTTTAAATTTCTTGCTAAGCTCCTCAGAAATCAATAAGGCTGCACGCGCCACGCCCGATACAATCCCCACCCAGAAGGAACCCGCGGCACCTGTTATCTCACTGTCTACTAACCCTGTGGCAGAAACATCTGCTGAACCAACTGTCACTTTGGCCTCGCAGCATCCCACTCAGACTACGGCGTGCACGATTCGGCTCAAGCAGGTGGCCTTGAGCTTTGGCAAGGCATCATGGTCGTCTGCCGATGTCAACAAGCCCCCCGGCTCCTCTGAGCGACCGCATCCTTGCCTCAACATTAACCTGGCGGAGCTCAACGAAGAAGTATATGACAATGCAAATGACAAGTTCAAGAGTCGGTGGTTTGCACGTTTTCCCTGGCTTCAGATCACTAAAACCACCTCGGGGTTGCATGCGTTTAAGTGTACTGTTTGTGCAACTTATGCTAGCAATGCAGGCAAGTGCGGGAGGCGAGGGAAAGGCGCCAGCAACTTGCAGACACAGTCTTTTCGTAAGCACGCTGGCACGGCGAAGCGCAAGCTCGCGATGGCAAGATTCACATCTCAGCAGGAGTGCGGGGCGAGGCAGCCGCTGATCGACCAACATCGCGCCACGGTTGACGGTGTGAAGCTGCGAGTCGTCGCCCTTCTCGACTTGTTGCTGTTCATCAGCATGTCCGACGCACCCATGGGGATGTGGGTGAAACTGGTGTGGTACCTAGCGGAGAAGGGCGTGCTGGGCTACCCGAAGAAGGGGTACGGCACCTACCACACCACGGGAGTGTAATTGCCATACGCTTTTATTATACATCGATGTTTCAATATTATCCTCCTTGATATATTACTGACTATTGTTTTCATGTGCAAATACGGCTTCGGTGAGCTGACTCAAGCGACTGCGACATTGCTCCAGACAATCCAGCTGGAACATGTGCTGGCGTTGCCCTTCGTTGGCATCTCGATTGACGAGAGCATGGGTAGGTGCAGCGGGAAGCACCTGATCCTCTTCATCACCTTCATCCGCGAGTACAAGCTCGTCAAGGAGTTCATGGCATGAATCACCGTGGAGAAGGCCGACGCAACTTATCTGATGAGCGCTCTTTTGTCACACTTGTAGGCAGTCGGGATCAACCTTCAGCGCATTGCAGGCATCAGTACCGACAGAGCGAACGTCATGATGGGCAACTAGGATGGCCTTACAACACGCCTCCACCTGCACATCCCCCATTTGGTGTCTTCCCAATGCATCGCACACAGGCATTTAGTATTTGTGCATAATCCTGCCGTGCATTTTTTTCCATTTTTTTACGTTCCTGACTAACTAATGTTTGCGCCTTGTTGTATAGGGAGGCACTGGCAGCTAAAATAGCCGCCGAGAAGATTCCCACCTTCAACGTTACTGTCACGGTGATTTGTACTGTGCCAGAGCATCTCGGCCGGTTAGGGCCATGGCACCAGCGCTTCATGGGCCTCCAGGGAGTTTTCACTTCCACCTCACTGGAGCTGCGAAGGATTCATGACGTCCATTGGCTTTCGGGGGGCGACGTAGTGCTCAGACTAGTCGACGTGCTTCCAGCTCTTATCGTGATGTTGAAAGAGTGGGACGCGAAGCTGTACGCGCTCGAGACAAGCTACAGGTTTCACTTCCTCCTGTTCTTCATTGCCGATGTGCTTGAGCAGCTCAACATCATGAATAGGGCGTTTCAGCAAAAAGAGATGAGCTCTTAGAAACTCGTTTTTAATCATTGATGTACTGATGTATTAGTCATTATGCAAGATTCCTGCAGGCTTACCTTCAGCAGTCTCTAACTACCTTCTCTTTGTTTTCTGTCCAGCTTGACTATGCCAGCGTGCATGCGCAGATTAAGGGCACAACGTCCCATATTCAGAGCCGCTACGTCGATTGCAGCGACGACTTCGGTGGCGGCATCAGCGAGCTGCTGTCCCCCTTCATTGTGCGCCATGGGCCAGGAGGAAACCGGGAGGTGGCTGACGTGGTGTTGACTCGGACGGCCGACATGCACGGTTCACCTTCACGCTACATGAGGACGAGCTAGAGGACTTCTATGGCTGCGTGGACGTCTGCTACATCCTCCACCAGCTGCTGATCCTCCACCAACTACTGCATCACCATCTGCGTGGACGCAATGTCTAGGGTGAAGCTTTTCACCCCCAATAAGTACCCGATGGATCGAGAAGAGAGGAACCGCCAGTGCCTTGAGTGGCTAGAGTTGCTTGTGACTCTGTTCAAGGCCGACCTGACAGAGGAGATCTTGTCATGTAAGCCCAATTGTGTGTATGGTTTCTTTATGGTGCTTCGATGTGCGTTCATTTCTCTGCTTGTATCTGATGCGGCTCTTCAATGTACGTTCTTTTGTTATACCTTTTCCTACCCCGCCAGGAAATAACAAGCGCCGTGCGGTGAAGGAGCTGCGAACGTTCACCTCGGTGCTTGCAGCATCCAACAAGAATGAGTGCGGCTTCCACGCAGGGCTCAGTGCAATGCTCAAGGCACCCGATTTGCGGGACAACAACCCCAACCTTGTTTTCTTGTGGGTGGCGGTATCTGTTCTGCCGCTGGGCACCATGGAGTGTGAGCGGGGGCTCAGCAACTCTAGCCACTCAAGGCACTGGCGGTTCTGTTCAAAACGCTTCGCAACCCTCAGAACATTCGCGTAACACCTGGGTTACTGGTCTTGTGTCGAGACTAAATGACGCCTCGTGTTGTACCCAGGTGGATCATTCAATACATTCCTCTTTTTCTGAACTCGATCCTATCGATCCTCACAACTCCCGCCTGCAGGAAAGCAACAGAGCAACAAGGGCAAGGAGGCAGATGAAGAGATGGAAGTAGTAGACTTAGGAGATGAGAAGGATGACTCTGACAGAGATGATGATGGATTTGATGAGTAGGTAGGATTGGGAAATCTTAGATAGGATATAGGTAGGTAATCATAACTGTGAATGTTAAGCAGTAGTAAGTATGTAGGCCATACTAATGTTGTGCAAGTTCAACAAAGGCCAACAGAACACACACCTAAAATATCCATCAGACTTTTACTGTTGCTGACTCTGAAATGTTCATACTTTTTTACACTTTGAAATTGTGACACGACTTTGAAAGGAGTGTGCAGTGCAGTCGTCATAGGTCCAGCCTTTTCTTTGTACCATCTTGAGATCCAGTGTATAAGGGAGAGGAGGGTGGGAACTAGAGAAGTGAAAACTAGGATGAGACTAGGTTGCAGGTCCCGTGGACCTGCTGAAAGGTAAAGGAGAATGTCTCATTTACAGCATGTCAGAACATTATAGCTCATGCATATTGTGTAGGCTATAGTGGGGTAGCCCATAAGGGGTACAACCCAATTAGGGTTAGTACTTGTACCCAATTCATTCATAGTTCATTCATTCTCGTTTCTTCTCATGGTATCGAGCAGGTTCCCTAACGGGAACGATTCCTAGGGTCCACCACTACGAAAAAATATTTTTCCTGCCCGGAGCGCGCTCTGCTTAGGCCCGAGTCGCGCCCCGTGTGCTTTCCTTACCGTCGGGCCCTCGCTAGGCCCCTCACGGCCCCGTCGCGTCGCCCTTAGCGGCCTCTTGCGGCCCCGATCCGCCGCCCTTCGCGGCCCGTCGCCGCTCTCCCCTTGCGGCCCCTCGCCGCCCTTTCACCAGCGGCCCCGTCGCCGCCCTTGCACGGCCCTGACGCCGCCCTCCCTGCGGCTCTGTCGCCGCCCTCTTCAGCGGCCCATCGCCGCCCTTCTCACCGGCCCCGCCATCTCCTTTCAGCGGCCCCGCCGTCTCCTTTCAGCGGCCCCGCCGTCTCCTTTCAGCGGCCCCGCCGTCTCCTTTCAGCGGCCCCGCCGTCTCCTCTCGGCGGCCACGCCGCCTCCTCTCGGCTGCCCGGCCGCCTCCTCTCTGCGGCCCCGCCGCCTCCTCTTGGCGGCCCAGCCGCCTCCTCTCAGTGGCCCCGGACCCCGCCCTCTCAGCGGCCCTTCCGCCGCCTCCTTTGCGGCCCCGCCGAGCCGCCCAGCAGCAGAGCCGCCGAGCCGCCCAGCAGCAGAGCCGCCGAGCCGCCCAGCAGCCGAGCCGCCAAGCCGCCCAGCCACCGAGCCGTTGTGCCGCCCAGCAGCCAAGCCGCCGAGCCGCCCAGCCGCCGAGCCGCCCAGCAGCCGAGCCGCCGAGCCGCCCTGCAGCCGAGCAGCCGAGCCCCCCAGCAGCCGAGCCGCCGAGCCGCCCAGCAGCCGAGCCACCGAGCCGCCCAGCAGCCGAGCCGCCGAGCCGCCCAGCAGCCGAGCCGCCGAGACGCCCAGCTGCCGAGCCGCCTACCGCCCAGCTGCCGAGCCGCCGAGTCGCCCTGCAGCCGAGCCGCCCGAGCCGCCCTGTCTGGTAAGAGCAGCGCCTCTGTCACTGCACTGCCCTCACCCTACTGTTCGCGCTGCTAGTCTACTGCTGTCATGGCTACCCCTAGTGTCCTCGCTTTTGACGCTGAGGGTCGGGCCATTGACTTTGACGTCTAGATAGATGACCTGCAGCTTTTCTTACAGTGCGATAGGGCAGACGGTCTCTCTCTCTTTGACCTCACCTCTGGTGCCTCTCCTGCCCCTGCTGCTGATGCTGACGCCACTGTCCGCTCACAATGGGCCACGCGCGATGCTGCTGCACGTCTTGCTGTGCGTCGCCACCTGCCTACCTCTGAGCGTGCACATTTTAGCCAGTACAAGCGTGCTCAGACCTTGTACGACGCTGTAGTTGCACGCTACTCCTCCCGTGCCACTGCTGCACTGAGCTGCCTCATGCTACCGTACCTCTTTCCTGACCTTGCTGCCTTTCCCACAGTCGCTGACCTCATTACGCACCTCCGCACTAGTGACACTCGCTACCGCGCTGCGCTTCCTGCTGAGTTTTGCACCAAGAACCCCCCCCCCCCATGTACATCACTCTCTACTACATAGTCACCCGCCTCCCTGACTACCTTCGCGTAGTCACGGACCACTTTCTCTCAGTCTGTCCCACCACTCTCACTGTTGACCTCCTCGAGAAGGCCCTCCTAGCAGCGGAGAAGAGCATAGTCGCTGTAGGGGCCTCTCGTGGTGACCCGCGCACCCCCATCTGTGAGGGGTGTTCCCCCTCCCCTCTTTTGCCCTCTGTTGCCTCTGCTGCTGCAGCCGACCTTGTTGGTCTGGAGTCGGTCTGTGCGGCGTCTACCCCTAGTGGGAAGCGTCGCTCTGGCAAGGGCAAGGGGGGCAGGGGCGCTGGAGGAGCTAGCGGGGGCAGTGGAGGCGGCGGTGGAGGCAGTGGAGGGGGTGGGGGTGGTGGTGGGAGTGGTGGTGGGGGTGGAGGTGTCGGCAGCGGCAGTGGAGGCGGAGGCGGCGGCGGCGGTGGCAGTGGGAGCGGAGGTGGTGGAGGTGGCGGAGATGGAGGAGGCAGTGGCGGAGGAGGAGGAGGAGGAGGTCGTGGCTCTTCGCAGAGGAGTGGCTCCGGTGGTGGTCAGCGCCAGCAGCAGCAGCGCACTCGGGAGACCCTGTCCCCTCAGCAGCTCTGTGAGTGGTACGCTGCACGCCAGCGGGGTGGGGATACTGGTCCGTGCACCTACGTCCTGCGCACCGGCGACCGTGTGGGTGAGCAGTGTGGGGGTGCGCACCCCACCTAGCGCTGCTTTGGCCGCCTGACGGACGCTTGGCGTCACCAGTTCCTTGAGGCCTCCGAGATCCCTTGCTGGGGCGAGCTGTCTAGGGCAGGGGTAGCTATCTTTGACCTTGACTTTGATGCTATTCTTGCTGCTATGTATACTGTGTCTATTAGTGAGGAGGGTGACTGTTACCAGTGTTTCCCGCCTGACCTGGGCATTGCGACTGCTGCTCTAGGTGCTGGTGAGGCTGATGCTCTTGGTGCTAGCCAGGCTGCTGCTCTAGGTGCTAGTGCGTCTGCTTCCTCCGGCACTGGTGAGTCTGCGCTCTCAGACCCCTCTAGGGGTCCTGTCCTTGCTCACTTCTCCACTGTCCTCCTGTGTCCGACGGCCCCCTCTGGTACCCTGTCTGGTCTTTACCTCCCCTCGTTCTCTACGAACTTGGTGAGTGGTGCTGACCTACAGGATGCGGGGGTTCACCGGTTCACTCCTGCGAGTCAGCGGGTGACCCACTGCACGGACGCTCGGACAGGCCGACACCAGGCCACGTTTACACGTCGGCTGGGGTCGAGCCTGTACACACTGACCACTGCGTCTCCTCCAATCCCTGCGTCTGGTCAGGTAGCTGCGTCGGGTCAGGTGTTAGCTGCAGCGTCCAGGTCTGGTCCTGAGTCTGCCCCCTACTCGTGTCGCCTCCTGTCTCACGAGCCTCTCCTCTGGCACCACCGCCTTGGTCACCCCTCCCTGCTTCGTCTCCGAAGCATGGCCTCCCGTGTCCTTGTCTCTGGTCTTCCCCGGTCCCTCCCTCCCCTTCCTCCAGGGCCTGGCCCTACCTGCGTCCCCTGTGTCGAGGGGCGGCAGCGGGCTGCCCCTCACTCCTCCCAGTTTCCTCCGACAGAGGCCCCGCTGCAGACGCTTCACATGGACGTGTGGGGCCCAGCCCGCGTCCGTGGACAGGGTCATGAGCGCTACTTCCTGCTGGTGGTTGACGACTACTCGCGTTACACCACACTCTTCCCCTTGCGCAGCAAGGGTGATGTCACTGAGGTGTTGATCGACTGGATCCGCTCAGCTCGTCTCCAGCTCAGGCGGAGCTTCGGCTCGGACTTTCTTGTTCTACGTCTGCACTCTGACAGAGGCGGAGAGTTCTCCTCTTGCCTTCTACGAGCCTACTGTCGTGCACGAGGCATCCGCCAGACCCTCACGCTTCCGGACTCTCCACTGCAAAATGGGATTGCTGAGCGCCGCATAGGCATGGTCATGGACGTCGCTGTGAAACAAGTGAACAGGAATGAATGACTAAGTCAGAGTTGGGTACAAATACAACCCTAGAAAGCTCTACCCCATATGTGCTACCCCACTATAGCCTACAAACATGCATCAGCTATAATACTCTGACACACCCCCATAGGCTAAGTGGAAGAGAAGAAGGGATCACAAGACAAGTCAAGCAAAGCAAAGCAAAGCAAGCTCAGGGTGGATCACAAAGTCACCACACAGTCCGAGCACAAGAGCAGGGCCAGAGGCCAGTTCACATGCAGGAGTACAGACATATATATAAAACTAGACAAGCAAGAGCAGGTATATATATATGTCACAGTACAAGTAAAGTCAAGAGGAGAGCAAGTGAGGCAAGACAGGTACAAGACCCAGCTGGGTGCAAAAGCGCTGATGGTCACAAGGCGCGAGTGCCTTGGTGAACACATCAGCAGTGTTGGCCTCAGAGGCCACGTACGCAAGTCGCAACTGACCACGCTGCTGCAGCTCACGAGCAAGGAAGTAGCGGAGAGCAATGTGCTTCGTTCTGTGCTCCAAGCGCTGCTCTCGACACAAGGCCAGCATGGCCTTGTTGTCTACGTACAGCACTGGAGGAGAACGAGGCGGCTCTCCAAGGTCAGTCAGCAGGTAGGTGAGCCAGCGAAGCTCCTGTGCAGCCATGGCCCCGGCGTAGATCTCAGCCTCACAACTGGAGCCGAGAACCGAAGACGAGCGAGTAGACCGCCACGAGACAGAGCCGGAACCAAGGCTGAAGGTGTAACCCTGTGACGACCGCTGCGTAGCCTGGTCGTCAGCCCAAGAAGCGTCCGCGTGGCCGGTAAGGACCACTGGACTCCGCCCTCCAAGCACTAGCCCCATGCCCGACGTACTGCACAGGTAGCGCAATACCCTCTTCGCTGCAGCCATGTGCTCCGGTCTGTGTCTCCCAGGAGCAACATAGTGTGCAAGAATGCTCAGAGGGTATGCAAGGTCAGGTCGTGTGCAGGTCATCAGGTACATGAGGCAGCCAACAAGCTCTGCATACGGACCACTCGACTCTACGGACTCATCCGAAGGCAGAGGTGAGAGTGAGTGGCGAGTAGACAGAGGAGTGGCCTGAGGCGAGGAGTACGTGAAGCCGAAGCGCTGAAGGACCTGCTGCACCATGTGTGACTGAGTCAAGGTAATGGTGCGGCGTGCTCTGTCCCGAGTGATCTGCAAGCCAAGGTAGCGGCGCAGTTCACCCAGGTCTGTGCACGTGTGTCTCTTCAGCAGCTCGGACTTCACGTAGGCGAGTCCAGTAGTGTCCGCTGTGGCAAAGACCAAGTCGTCGACGTACACGAGGATGTAGAACGGCGGCAGGGAAGTGTCGGTGCGAAGAAACAGCGACGGGTTAGCAGTAGAAGGAGCAAACCCAAGAGCCGCAAGCGTAGTCCTCAGTGTGTCGTGCCACTCACGCGGTGCCTGGCGGAGACCGTAGACTGGCCGTCGGAGGCTCCACTGGGTGCCAGGAGGGAAAGTCCCAGTGAAGCCAGGTGGACGGCGAAGCCAGATCTCCTCGTGCAGGCTACCCTGCAAGAACGCAGTGCTGAAGTCGAGAGAGTGAAGCTCGTAGTCGCGCTGAGCGGCTATGTGCAGCAGCACCCGAAGAGTAGTCATCTTCGGGGTGGTAGAGAAGGTCTGAAAGAAGTCAACTCCCTGCCGCTGACTGAAGCCACGAGCAACGTACCGTGCCTTGAAGACAGGTGGAGAGCCCGGCGGCCGCTTCACCCTGAAGATCCACATGCCACTGACGATGTTCGCCCCAGGAGGGGGAACCGCGTCAACGTAGGTGCCTGTGGACTTCCAGGAAGCCATCTCTGCATCCATAGCTGCCTGCCACTGAGAGGAGTAGGGACCCTCTACGGCCTCCGCGTAAGAACGCGGAGTCGGGATGTCTAGTGCATCCGGGTCTCCCTCAGGGGCAAGCAGTACAGACGCGAGATGAGGTGAAGCAGCCGCTAGACACTGTAACTCCTCCTGCCTGTCCTCTAGGACGTCCGTGCCAAGAGCACACTCACCCCCGACGGACGGAGGACAGACAGACGCAGACTCAGCAACAAGACTAGCAGCGTAGTCGAGACGACAGCGAGCAGCAAAGTCGACGAGCTCAGCGACTAGAGCAGACGCAGCAGTGGACTCAAAAGAGGGGTCAGTGACGACAGTAGCAAGCAGACGCGTGACAGTAGGACTGGCAGCACGAAGAGAGTCCGACTCAGGGTCGGCAAGCGCAGGAAGAGAGGACTCAGGAGGAGAAGGCAAAGGGGCACGCAGAGGAGCAGTGGACGGACGCAAAGACATCCGGTGCGTGCCAGGGACAGGAGGAGGACGCTGACGCGAACTGCGACCACTAGCGCGAGCAGCACGAACAGGCGACGCGGGACGAGACGCAGGCTCACGACGCTCAGCAAGACCTCCAGTAGGACCTGTGTAAGGAGAGGGAGCAGGCAGTGGAGAGGAAGGCTCCAGCAGGGACTGCGACTGGACATGCGGTGGACCCTCTACTGGAGGAGAAAGACCAAGAACCTGCTGCAGGAGCGGAACGAAGTACGGCCGAGGCCGCGCGGCAGCTCTAGACTCAGCAGGGACAGCGCCAGCACCCTCAGCGACAGCACCAGCGCCACCCACACCTCCAGTGGTTGGACCAACAGCAGTAGGCTCAGCACCAGCTCCCTCAGCAGCTCCAGCTCCAGGAGGACCCGCAGGTCCAGCAGCTCCGGGACCGGCAGCACCCGCACCCTCGACGGTCGAAGAAGCTCCAGCTCCAGCTCCAGCAGCACCTCCAGACTCAGCAGCACGCCTCCAGCGGCGAGCGAACCACTCGCGCAGCTCCTGTGGAGAGAGGGGCTCCCGGCGAGACGCAGCAGCAGGAGAAACCCCAGGCTCAGCAGCTCCAGACGCAGCACCCCCAGGCTCAGCAGCTCCCAGCTCAGCACCCCCAGGCTCAGCAGCTTCCGACCCAGCACCCCCAGACCCAGCACCTCCAGGCACAGCACCCCCCGGCTCAGCACCCCCAGGCTCCGCACCCTCCGCAGTAGCACCCTCAGGCCCAGCACCCCCAGCAGTAGCACCCCCAGGCTCAGCACCCCCGCGCACAGCACCCCCAGAGTCAGCACCCCCAGGCTCAGCACCCGCAGCAGCACCAGAGTCACCAGTAACCTCGACCGGGTCAACGGCGTCTACCTGGGACACACCTGAGGGGGCAGGAACCTGAGGGGGGAGGGGGTCTACCGGGGGGGGAACCGGCACAAGGAAGTCCGGGGGAGGGGGGAGGGAAGGAGTGCGGTAGGGGAAGAGACAGTAGAAGGGGACTAACTCGTCGAACGTGACGTCCTGGGAGGACAGAACACGACGAGAGGAGGGGTGGTAAAACTGCCACCCTGGGGCGTCAGAGGGGAAGCCAAGGAAGACACAGGGAGCAGCACGAGGGGACAGCTTGTCGGCAGACAAGTCGCGGACAATCGCCCGAGATCCCCAGACACGGAACACAGACGCATCGCCAACCTTCCCCGTCCACAGCAAGGCTGGGGACATCGCAGGCCGAGAGACCCGGGGGTGAAGGTTGAGCTGATGCGCCGCGTACCTAACCGCAAATGGCCACAGAAAATGGGGGGCAGCCGCATGCATCATGGACGTACGAGCGACATCCATGACCATGCCAATGCGGCGCTCAGCAATCCCATTTTGCTGTGGTGAGTCCGGAAGCGTGAAGGTCTGGCGAATCCCCC